TCCATTCCAGGACCCTGAGATCTTAAGGCAGACACTTACCGCCTGAGCCACCCAGGCAGTCTGAGCCTATAATTTAAAGGGGGTGGGGGAACTCTACTGTTTTTGGATTTTTTTTTTTCCTATAGAGATCCTTGTAAACTTTTTCCCCCCTATAATTTATCAAAGTTCTGGGTCTTGAGCCCATGTCTGTGTCCCCATTTCCCCTGCTGTTTTGCAGAATGGATGCTGTGTCAGGCATGAAAACCACGTTACTCTCACGGTCCATCTCCATCAGTGCTCTTGGGTGACCAGGTGCGTTGTCCATGAGCAGTCGCATTTTGAAAGGAATCTTATTTCTGAGCAGTAGTTCCTTGATGGTGGTTTACCGTATTCAGTGAACCATATTGTAGACAGACGCACCGTCATCCAGGCCGTGTCGTTCCATTTGTAGGGCCCAGGCAGAGTAGACTGGGCGCGATGCTGAAGGGCCCTAGGATTTTCAGAATGGGACGTGGGCACTGGCTTCCACGTAGGGTCACCGCTGCATCAGCCTCTCACAGGGGAGCCAGCCTGTCCTTCGCAGCTCTGAAGCTGGGCACTGACTTGTCTCTGGCTGTGAAAGTCCTAGATGGCGTCGTCTCCCGACAGAAGGCTGTTTGGTCTACACTGGCAGTCGGTTGTTGAGTGTGGCCGCCTTCCTGAGTTCTCTGAGCTGGATCTCCTGGGTGACCTGCTGCCGCGTCTCCGTGAGCACCTGCGGCCTCACCTGGTCCTTCACGTCAGGGCGACGGCTGCTTCCCTTAATCCCACCAGCCAAGCTCCACAGGCTGCAGCTTCCCCGCCTGCCTCAGCCTTCACAGAACTGAGAATTCGGGCCTTGTTCTGGATCAGGCTTTGGCTCAGGGGAGTGTGTTCCTTCCAGACCACTCAGGCTTTCTCCGTATCAGCAATAACTTTGTTTCATTTCACTTTTTTATTCTTGTGTTCACGGGACTGGTGCCTTTAATCGCCTTCAAAAACTTCTCCTTTGTATTCACAACATGGCTAACTGTTGTGCACAGGAGGCCTTTCCCACTACATTTAATCATTTCTAGCTTTTGATGTGGTGAGAGATGCAGGACTCCTCACTTGAATACTTAAGAGGTCAGTGTAGGGTTATTGATCAGCCTAAGATCAATATTGTTGTGTCTTGTAGAATAGAGGCCTAAGGAGAGGGAGAGAGATGGGAGGACAGCTAAGTGGAGCAGTCAGAACATACACAACAGTGAATTTTTTTTTTTTTTTTTTTTAAGCTGAAGACAGACGCTTCATTGACGGAGCCCCCCAGGCTCCCCACAGCATTAAGTTAGCCATCTGATACAGGCACAGCTCATGGCACCCCAAAACAAGTGCAATAGTATCATCAAACACACGTATCATCAAGATCACAATAACAAATATAATAGTGACAATATTTGAAACATTGTGAGGATTACCAGATTTTGACACAGAGATAACAAAGTGAGCAAATGCTATTGGGAAAATGGTGCCAGTCAACATTGCGTCACCACACATCTTTGTAAAAAACTATCTTCAAGGTGCACCAAGCGAGGTGTGCCTGTACTTAAGACATGGTGGGGGGGAACGTTGTATCCTTCTGGGCCCGGGAGTTGCCCTCAGCACCTGCTCCTGGTCATCTCCATGCAGGCAAATGAAGGCTTTGTGCAGACTCTGCTTTTCCCTTAGCCCCTGGGAAGAGAGAAAGACCATCTAGCACCCATTTCAAGTCAGGTTTTGTTGAAATCCTAGTGACTGTAATACTTGACATGCTTCAAAATATTATAGGTTCCAAGAATAATTTATACTTTCAGTGTTAATTTTCCCATAAATAGGATGTGTTTCAAATATTTTTTAATAAAACGAAAAAGTTGGTAAGGCTTAGGACCTACCTTAATATATAAAAGAATAAATTACTTCTGAAGAAAATAGGCAGTATATTTTCATTTTAGGCACAGGCATTTGATTCCAGAAAGAATGATTTGTCTTGTTTTCTTTGTGAATTTATATCAAATATAAAAGCGAATCAATACTAACTCTCAAAAGTGAGTGTTCTTTTTATAGCAAGCATTTAAGGTAATGAAGTGCTTAGTCTCCAGGGTTCTCTCTTGTGCCGCGGTCTTGCCTGCCAAGTCACGCTGCAGTGTTCTTGCGGCAGTGATGACCTCTCCCGCAGAGAGGCGTGTGCAGGAGGGGACTCGGAACAAGGCTTGTGCCGGACTGTAGTTTTACTAGAGAATAAGAAGGATGGATTGTCAGACTGTGTGATGTTTAAAGGCTAATTTAGGAAAGATAATTTAAAGAAATTTAAAAAAGCTGTGTACATAATCCTAAAGGATGTTAAATCCTTTAGGAAAAAGCTTGTGTAAAATACAGATATTTTAGTTAATTTCTTTGAGCAGGGGTGCCTGGGTAGCTCAGTTGGTTAAGCGTCTGCCTTTGGCTCAGGTCATGATCCTAGGGTCCTGGGATCGAGTCCCATGTCGGGTTCCCTGCTCATTGGGGAACCTGCTTCTCCGTCTACTTGTGCTTTTCCCCCACCCCCCAATATGAATAAATAAAATCTTTAAAAAAATGTATTTGAGCAAAGTCTTAGGAATATTCATGGAGGTACGAATAATTTGAGAGACTAGTTTTTTCATGGGAACAGAAGTTGTGTATTGCTGAGACAAGCAAAACCTTTTGTGCCCCAGGAGCTGGGAGCAGACCACAGTCAGGGGAGCTGGGTGAATGGGCTGGGGCAGCAAGCAGGAGGCTTTCCGGGCCAGTGAGGAAGCATGAAAAAAATTAAAGCTGGAGAGTGTTAAGAATAAATTTGTGCTTGTAGATGTAGCAGCCCACCTGGTGGCCTCTGGGGTGGGAGAGCTTGCTGGAGGTCGAGCTCTACAAACTCTTAACCAGCCAGTTTTGGAGACTCTCCAGGTTGGCGAAAGCTTCCGCCTGCTGGAGGGTATGCACCCCACCTCCTCGGGGACAGAGATAATGCACTGGGGACCCTCTGGGACCTCCCCCATGTACCTCTTCATCTGACGACTCATTTTTGTCCTTTATAACAGACCAGTAAGCCTAAGTGAAGCTTCTGCTAGATTCTAGAGCCATACTAGAAAATTACCAAACCTCATTTGGGGGGTTGTGGGAACTCCTGAGCCTGCGGTATGCCCAGCAGAAGTGTGAATAGGCCAGTGCTACTTTTGTGGCTGGCATGTGGCGTAGAGGGGGGCTTTGTGGGATCTGATGTTGACTCCAGGAAGAGAGTGTCAGGACACACCCGGTCGCTGCCAGAGAATTAGTTACTGGTGTGAAAAAAAGACTATGTGTTTGAATGTTTGGATTTTGAGAAATAAGACTATTGTCTGTTACCGGGTGTCCGTCATTAACCAGGTGGAAGAAATGGCTGGATCAGGGGGGTGGGGCAGAACTAACCAAGTGGGAGTCTCGATCTCCGTATTTCGGAGCACAAGCCACGTAACCAGGCACTGGGCAGGGCTTGCATACGCAGTTGGAACAGAACTGCATTATTTTGTCGCGGATGCATGTGGAAGGGAGTCCATGGGGATCGAAATGGGCAGTAAAGATGGTGGAATTAAGGGCTGGCAGGCTACAGGGGCCGCAGGTAGGCGGAGTGATTCCGAGCAGCTGCAGAAGGGGGGCCAGCAGGGCTTGCTGCAGGCATCTCTGGTTCGTGATCTGACACGACGCTCCTGCCCAGACCGAGGGGTGGCTTGTACCCCTGAAGAGGACCGTGTGTGGAAATTGGAGTTGGGGAAACAGACCAAATTCAAGTGCTAGCTGTGTCAGTCTTTAGCTGTGGAAGTTCGTCACACTACTAAAGCTTTCCGAAACAGCAAACAGCGTTCGTGTCGTTTGCTACAGAAGTTCATGTTTTAGTCATTCTGGGCAGCTGGTAACAAAGACCTCAGACGAGGTGGCTTAGACCGCACACATTTACTTTCACGGTTCTGGAGCCTGGAAACTCCCAAGACCAAGGTGTCAGCAGATTTGGGACTTGGTGACAGCCTCGTTCTGGGCTTGGAGAAGCCTGGCGCTCACTGAGTCCCAGCGTGGCTGAGAGCTCTGGTGTGTTCCTCTAATAATGTCACCGGTTCCTTCCTGGGGGCTTGCTGTCATGACTACCTCTAAACCACCTCCAGGCACCACCCCGTTGGGAAGTTGGGCTTTGAGGAGTGGATTTGTGTGGGGCAGAGGGGGCGGGGCATTCAGTCTGTAGCCAGCAGTCTTTGTAAGGGTTAATGAATGTGTGTAAATTTCCAAGCAGAGAATCATATTTATTAAACTTTTATTTTGTCTTCCTTATTTTTTGGAGTCTAGGTATAAGGAGGTGAGTTAAGTCTACTTTTGTTTGTGATATAATACCATTTTTCCCTGAAATACAGTTAAGTACTAACAAAATCTTGGTACGAATTTAGTTTGCCAAAACTTGTTTATTTATTTTTTAAAAAATTTATTTATTTGAGAGAAAGCACAAGCCGGGGGAGAGGCAGAGGCAGAAGCAGACTCCCTACTGAGCAGGGAGCCCGACTTGGGGCTCGATCCCAGGACCCTGGGATCATGACCTGAGCAGAAGGCAGACGCTTAACTGATGGAGCCACCCAGGCACCCCATAAAGTTTACAATATTTTTGTGTTTTTTATTTCTTTAAGAGACTTTTTAAAAAAAGATTTTATTCATTCATGAGAGATAGAGATCCACACATACAGAGGCAGAGGGAGAAGCAGGCTCCCCAAGGATCAGGGAACCTGATATGGGGCTTGATCCCAGGACCCTGGCATCATGACCTGAGCCAAAGAAGGCAGATGCTTAACCCACTGAGCCACCCAGGCATCCCAAATTTTTTTTTTTTTTTTTGGACAGAGAGATCACAAGTAGGCAGAGGCAGGGGTGGGGGGAGGCAGGCTCCCTGCCGAGCAGAGAGCCCGATGCGGGGCTCGATCCCAGGACCCTGAGATCATGACCTGAGCTGAAGGCAGAGGCTTAACCCACTGAGCACCCAGGCGCCCCAAGTTTACAATATTGTTAAATATAGGATTTGTGAAATACTGAAGTGTTGTTTGTGCTGTTGATTAATGTAGGATAGTATTACAGGTACAACTTTACCAAAATGTTAGATTGAATAAATAAATTTCCTCATATAATGCCTGCATTCTACATTTTCTAAGTCAGGGGCTTTTAGGTTTGGGGATCAGGAAAGGAATTAAATAACCCTATGAAAAACTTCCTGGCTAATTTTTAAGCTCACTGATTTTCATTTCCTTGTCTGCGGGGTGCCTGGGTGGTGCATGTGGTTTCAGGCTAGATCCTGATCTCAGAGTCCTGGGATCGAGCCTTGGGTCGGGTTCCATGTTCAACATGGGGTCTCCCTCTGTCCCTCCTGGTCCCGCTGTCTTTCTCTCTAAAATAACATCTTAAAAAAAATCCTCAAAAAACAAAAACAACTTGCTGGTTAACTTATGAATTGAGTGATTTTCATTCCCTTGTCTGAAAATAGCAAAGAATATTCATATTTTACTTACTAGCAGTGGTAGCTGAAGCCTTTTCACATTTGCTTCAGGCAGATGTGAGAGCCCCCTGCACTGCTCTGAGGGCCCATGGCATGCTCTTGTAGGGGGAGTCGGGGTTGCATGAGGGGTCTCCGGGATTCACATTCATGGTGTCTGGGAATGGCGGGTAAGACTGGAGTCTCTTGGCTTCTCTTTCCTTGCTCAGCTTTTCCAGCATATTGCTTGTACTCTGTGTGACTGGAGCTCCAGAGGAGGCGAGGGGGTGGCGGAATTCTTGAGAATGCGACTGCAGGTGAGTAGAGATGGGATATTTCTCTGGAAGGAGGCTCTGCTGCCCATGGATGGGAAGCCTTCTCTTGGCCTGAGTCCTCTCAGCGCATCGGGCTGTGCTTGGGGATCTGGGCTCCATTCAACTGTTCTCAGGACTCACGGATACTTGCGTTTGGTCAGGGATTGATCAGGAAGTCCTCTCCTTCGCAACATTCACACGAATGTATCTCATTCTCCGTTCACGGTGTCCTTGCAGAAGACAGATAGGCAGGATTTTCTTATCCATTGTGCGGTCTTAGTTGGGAGATGGTGTACTCCTTAGTATTAGTAACGTGGTGAGGGGCATGGTTGGTGCCGGAGGGGACAGGTGTTCGCGCTGTTTTCCAGAGAATGCAAGAAACCTGTGTGTAAGAGAAGAAAGAAGAAACCATTTTTCCTCTCAATTTTAAACTTACAAAGTTCGGTTAACATATACTTGAAGTTTGGAAGCTTCCAGAGATGACTAAAATTCTCTCTACTACCCTTATCTCTTTCACTCACTTTCTCTCTTTGTGATTAAACTTTGTTAAAATTGGAACTCTGAAAACAGTGCTTGGGGAGTAGTTTTTAAAAATTAGCTGTGCATTTGGCAGAATATGTGTAGAAATTAAAATAAAATTTAAAATACTGAAGCACTTTTTGAAGGACCAAGAGAGGCTGGAACTAATTGAGAGAATTCTGTTGCCTTTGAACAGAAAAACAGGATTAATACACAGAGAACTGATCCGAGGATAGCTGCTGTTGAGAATGGAGAGCTCGCTGCCAGAGGCATCACTGTGGGGCCACCCTCCAGAAGAGCAGCCCCAGGAGCCCCTCACGATACTGTCTGCTCTGATCTCTTCTAAAGATCAAGTGAGTTTTGTATGCCCGTGGTGGGCCTGGCTTCATGCGTCTCTGCCTGTTTGTAGGGAAGGGACCGTTCGGTTGTGTGGCCCTTGTTGGTGGTGAGAGAAGCATTTGCACATTAGCTCAGTAGAAATTACAGCCCCAGCCTGTATACATTTGTCCTTCTAGTGATCTCTGTGAACCCGGGGCTCGCACACCTGACCCAGGATCAAGAGTCACATGCGCTTCCCACTGAGCCAGCCAGGTGCCTCGCAGTGCTGTCTAATGGAGGTGATAATTGCCAACCAGCTAGTCAGAATCACCAGTTTATTGGGAAATCATCGGGTGATCTTACATCGAGATTCTGTGATCATGAAGTCGTTCTGTGCTTACTGTATGTGTCTGTTTCTCAGTGTGTCAGGAAGGCACAGGCAGGTCAGCACGGGAGCATGTGGGATTTGAGCCACACATGGAGTTTGACCTATCCACACCGCTCCCCCTTTGCCATCAGTATCCCGTTGACAGTTCTCTCCTGTGGATTACTGAGCACGGGCCTGTTGAAACATACTGTCTGTGATGTTCTAGGAGTCCGTGACCTTCAAAGATGTAGCCATAGACTTAACCCAGGAGGAGTGGACCCTGATGGACAGGTCGCAGAGGAAGCTGTACATTGATGTGATGCTGGAGAACATCACTCATCTGGTGTCCGTGGGTGAGTCCACCACCATCTGTCCGTTTGCTTGTTCATCTATTGATTGATAAAGCTGTAGGCAGGGCTGCTTCCACATACTCCAGTGGCTCTCTGCCCTAACTTGTACTCCTCTGTGGCCCTTCTGTTCTGACTTGATGAAATTTATAAATTATTTTCATCAGGTCTGTTACATAATAATTTGGATATAGTCTTTTTGGCTCAAATTGTGTATCTTTCTACTGCACTTTCTCCAAGACCCAGAATAATGCTGGGAATACAGTGAATAGTTTTTGGATGAATAAATCAATATCTTACATATTTTCTGCTCTGGGCGCTATGGTGAAGTTTGAGCACAGTTGAAAACCAAACATCCTGTACCACTTTCCGCATAAAACGCCACGGTGTATTCTAGTGGAGCGCATGTTATCGTCTTCCTTTGGAAATAATGGTAGCCACCCTGTGAGAACATTCATTTCATTCTTTCTGGATGCACACGCAGAGCCTTCTGCACCCCTTTGAGCTGGGGTCTTGACCGCAAGCAAAGGTCTTGACTGACTGGGGTGGAGGGTCAGGCTGAGAACCATTGTTGATGTTTCCGGTGTTGAAGGCGCTATTCTCTGGGCTGTTGTGCAGGGTGCACATGGTCCTTCCTCCATAAATTTACGTACCATTCTCCCATTGATCTAGGCTGTCAGTTTTTCCAAGCAGATGTGATTTCCCAGTGGGAGCAAGGAGGGGAGCTGTGGAGGGAAGACAGAGGACTTGCCCAAGGCTGGAATCCAGGTGAGCTGGGGACACGGGCTCTGTGCGAGAAGTCTAGCGAGTGAGTGAGCAGGATCTCACTGATGTTGTGCACGTTTGCTTGAGCGAATGAGAACTTCAGAAGACCAGTGGCCAGGAAGCCTGCCGCAGTCCTCAGGCCCTGTCATTACTGCTCTGTACTTGAATTTGACCTCGGGGAAGAGATGTTCCTGTCCTCACAGGAGGTGAAATTTCACCTTGTGGTCTTTGTCATGATTTTCTCTCTCTCTCTCTCCTTTTTTTTTTTTTTTTTTTTTTTTTGGTAATGATTTCCACTCATGTTTTCTGCAAAGCCCATCATTATTTATTTTTCTTTTTTGAGATTTTTTTTTTTTAATGTTGTGTGTGTGTGTGTGTGTGTTCCAAGATTCATTGTTTATGCACCACCCCCAGGGCTCCATGCAATCTGTGCCCTCCTTAATACCCACCACCAGGCTCACCCAACGCCCGATCCCCCTCCCATCCAAAACCCTCAGTTTGTCTCTCAGAGTCCACAGTCTCTCATGGTTTGTCTCCCCCTCCTATTTTCCCCAACTCACTTCTATCCATCTCGCAATGTCCTCCGTGTTTTGAGTTTTTTTGTAGTTGATATTATTCTAAAGTTTGTGTGTTTATTCACCAGTATTGTTCTCAGTTTCATGTTATGTGGTCATGCAGTGGTGACTGTTTGAAACACACATTGGTCTTGTGTATTTTCAACACTTTAATTCTCCTCTACTCAAGATATTCCTTAGGTTTATCTCTTCCTGTCTTCAATTATTTCAGGCTTAGAAAACAGCTATAAAAAGGAAGAAACAATATCTATGCAAGATATCTTCAAGGAGGACCCATCTGACTGCGGCATAATAGTAAGTCTCCTGAGGACAGACCGTGCCTGTCCGTGTTGCAGGCCTGGGAGTCGGATAAGTTAATCACGTATTGTCAGGGAATGTGGTCAAAAATTGAGTTTGGGGAAGAAATTAGCCTGGATTTAGACAGTATTGGCTCTCACAAAAGGATAATTTTGTAGACATGGTTTATTTGCATGAAACATGATGTCTTCAGAAACACTCAACTCTCCAGTGAAGATGCTACCCAGGTGTTTTATAACAAAAGATTCACGGCAGCCGAACTTTCAGCTTCAAAGGGGAAAAAACACTGCATTGATTCTGTAAAAATCTATTAGGAACCGAAAGAA